TTTTACACTTTTTAAAAACTTTTTAAAAAAATTTACCGCAAGCCAAAGTAGTGCATAAAGATTATCTGTGGTTTTATTATCAATGTGTGGGTTGATATTTTTATAGATGCTTATGTAATACAGATAGCAACGGAAATTTCTGACTTTACAATTTTTTTTAATTTATGTTGTTGCTGTTTTTTTTTTAATCATAAGCTTTTATACACACGACATGTATTCAGTAAAATAGATCGGGTACGTTTCATAAAATTTGAATTCACTGTAATTGTTAATGTAGTCCTTTGATTTTATATGTTTCATTTGTATGTCATTACGTGGAAAGTGTATTAAGTAAAGTGTTTATAACTACAGGATGGAATAGAAATTTGCGAAGAAAACAAATAGTGATCGATCTAAAATATAGGAAAAACAAAAACAATGCATAAATGTCTTGAGGGTATATCAAGGAAAGTGTGCGCATTAGATAGGCAGTCGGCAGGAATCAATGACACGAAACAATTCAGGTTTAAATGTCCAAGCATTGTGTAGTTTTAATATATATATATCATGGGAATGGATTTCTGTCGCATGTTTTTTTTTTATTTGTAAATGATTTATTTCAATTAAAAAGGTGTCATGAAAGATAAATTATCTATGCTGGATACATTTGATAGAACTCTAACACTAAATGATTTTGGTGCTCAGTTTTCAAATACACTGAAAATATTGAATGTGACAGAACGATCGAAATTGCTAATTTTTCTTACTATTCAATATTTTTTCATCAGTTGTAACTTTGTAATTACAAGTTCATGTATGTTTATTTCTAATTGGGAACGATAGCACTATATATGAAAATATGTGAACGCATTGAAAAATAAAACAATTAATGTAAAATAATTCATAAAACATAATTTGCAACTTTATTCAAGGAGTTTTTTTTTAACTACCAATTCAAAAATTTCAAGCAAAAAAAAAAATAAAATAAAATAAAATCACTGTATTTGAACCTAAAATGCCGCTTCAATAAGGCTCGAATCCAGCAACAAACCAATGTAGCCACTGCGGGACACCATGCGTAGCAATTATTTAAACCATTATTTAAACCCAAAGCCCTATACAATTGGACTTTGTCAATTTTCTACCAGAAAATAAATGGAAAAAGTTAAGATTTTGGTATTTCTGGGTCGTCTCTCCATTTTTTAAACAACTGGAATAAATTTTACGGTTAAAACTACACTGATAACGCATGTAAAATTCATGGAGAGAAGACCCAGAAACAATAAAATTAATAAAAAAAAAAAAAAAAGGCTATAAAAGAGTCGATTTTTGCATCATTTGACTCGTACGGCTATTTCCAGGCGCATAATTAAAATAAAATCAAACATATTTAACTGAATATTTACCCATTTCATATCCACCTACAACACGGTCATTAGCTACGTTTTGAAAAAAAATGTTTCAATCAATGACATTTTTAAATTCTTTTTATGAGCCAAAATTCCTGCCGAATCGCCATCTAAAGCGCCCACTTTCTTTCAGAGATGGGGTCAGGTACCTAACAGGAGTAAACATCCCCTGTTGACCAATCCAACCCAACATGAATCCTACGTATTGATTAGGAAGGCAGATCATCAGTAGTTGAATTCATTGTTAAAATAATTATATAATGATACGTTTGAAATATCTCGGCAAAAAAGGTCCACTGATAGATTGGATCTGCTAACAAGGTCAATGAAAACAACCATAGAATTTACGTTGCCACTTTAAAAGGAGGTTTTTGGAATCCCTGAAACTGAAACTAATCTCTCAGCAACCTGCCTCAGATATTTGATATTTTAACACAATATGCAGGTGATAACAGAACATTACTTCATAATAATCATTATATAAAATAAGAAAAGTTGAAGATGGAAAACATGAAATCATCTTTTTTATCATACAATTTCATTCTTCTTTGTTTCCCCTCAATTTGTCTATATTTAGAAATATCCAAACATAGAATACCTGTGGCAGACTCGAATTGAGCGTCTTTTAAGTTCACTATGATATCTACTTGACATTCGATTGGAATTAATATTTTAAATCGATCATACATCCTCGATATATGTAATTGGCAACGACAAGTGTTTTTCCTTATGTTGAAGATTCTGAATCAATTCTAAAAACGGCTCGGCAAATAAGAAGCACATGTAGTGTTCAACCGATTTCAATCAGCGTGAAAGAACACCTGCAGGCATGCTTATGAAAATTTCCTAAGATGTGTCTTTAGACACGTCTTAGGATATTTCTTAGGACATATCTTAGGAATATCTTAAGATTATCTTAGGATGTAAAACGAAAGCATCTTAGGAATATCCTAAGTTAAGATGTTGTAAATTCCATCTTAGTCACATTCTTTTTTTTCATTTTATATGTAAAATGAACACTACACTAAGTTCCTATTTCAAGTTTCCATCATACATGTATACATTTACTAATGTAGGGGCGGGGATCTAGAGTTTTTGTTATACAGAGTAATATGTCGCGAAACAGCGCATATTTGGTGCGCAATAAATATATACTTTTTTTAATGGGTGGCACTGTAGTTTTCTGGGCATCCATTTCAATTTTTTCAGGCCAGCGAGCTGAGAAACTACTGCTGATGTACTGCTAATGTATATACTTTAAGTACATTTTCATTTCATAGTTATTTTTATTTATGGATAAGCTCGTGGTTGTCCTAAAGTTAGAACTAAGATTAAGAACTCTCCTAAGGTAGGATATCTTCGATGGCCTGACTTAAGACTAAGATGTGTCGTTAAGTTCGTCTTAAGATATGTCTTAGTCCTAAGATAGCTTCATAAGCATACCTGCTGGTCTCCGAACATTTCCTTTAAATATCATTTTCAGAGTGTTTTGAGTACTTGTAAATTTGTAATATCAGATCAATTAAAAAAAATATTTTGAAGAAGAGTGTGTTTAAGACAAATCTACATATTATATGCAGTAAAAGGCAGAGACTGTTTCAACAGTGGCCTATATTTGTTTTTACCAATCTATATTTTTAAGGAATATAATTATGTTTGTATAAAACTAGTCACACAGACTATACAATGTATAATTTATTATCCTACAGAAGTGTTAAGTGCATTCTACTGCCAACCTTGCCCTAAAGAAAACTTGTATTAACTGAGTTTTATTTTCTACTTAGACATCTTTAAATCTTTTTCTGTCCAAGAATTGTTTTTTGGTTGGAATTAGTTTGTGAATTTTGAAGATATCCTGCAATAAAACAGATGGATGTTACAATTTGAGAAAATAAGTAGGTATCTACGATAAAATAAAAATTATATCCCAATATCTTATCGCATTGTCCAATTCAAGAACATCACAGAAACACATTGATTGCGGCAGTTTGATAACTGTTTATATACATGTAATAAGACCATAAACTGTCATGTAATCTAGAAATTGTGCCTTCGCTAAGCGCTCGGCACTTTTAAGTAAATTTTGTGCGTCCTTCGGAGGAAACCTTAGAGACTGAGGTAACGTGTTACTGTAGGCGTTGCATGATCAAGATTCCTTAATTTTCAATAGTTCTGAGTTCCAAGTTAAGATTTCAATTCAAATCCTAGCTGCAGATCTGTAGCATTACGGTATTATATATTTCTTTGACTATAACGCCACAGATAACGTAATGCAAAAAAAAAAAGATGTGCAATTTACGGTGCAATATTTTTTTTTCGCACTTTTGGGGAGAATTTATTCACTTTCTGGCATTGGTCAATCAACTACCTTTCACTCCATAAGTCTAGACACATTTTGTACCCAATATGTACATTTAATCCACCTCCCAACCCTTTATAGTTGTCTCTAGAGGCAATAAACTCGCTTGAAGTGAATTTTCACAATCTAACAATATATTAATCAAGCGTGTTCATCACTTGAAGAGACGACTATAAAGGGTTGGGAGGTAGATAAAATATACAGATTAGTTAAATAATGTGCCTAGAATTAGGAAGTTAAAGGTAATTGATTGGCCGATGCTGGAAAGTGGATAAATTCTCCCAAAAAGTGCGCAAAAATATTGCGCCGTAAATTGCACCTTTTTTGCATTACAGGATCTGTAGCATTATGGTAAAAGACAAATATATAAAACCAAGACAAATATATAAAACCATAACGCTACAGATCTGCAGCTATTCAAATCCCTTCACCGTTGAATGGTAACGTCTATATATGAGTGAAAAGGCTTACACGTGGGAAGTGAGACAACAAACAATCAATATATGAATACAATAAATATTTTTTTTCTTCAGACACAGGGAAAAAAACCTAGCCAAGATACTCCAGAATTTAAAATACATTTTACAGGAAGTAAAACACTCCATCCACTTGATTTTGAATGTCTTGTATCCATTAACTAGGGTTTAAATATCGATATTTTTAAGAATAACCCACAAGTGTTATACTGAAAGACATTGAAAGACTAAAATTATTGAAATAATCATTTTTCAAACCATTAGATCATGCTAGGAATTTTGTCTTGAAATCCCACATAACTTATATACATGTACATTTATTTGCAAACAATCAATCACACTTTCTTAAAATAATGTGTGAAAAGAAACTTTTGAGTGAATCATATGGATAAAAGAGTAGACATGAAAAAAATTATATGTAAGCTTTATGCATCAAGCATCTAATATAATTATTAATTTTTATCTCAAACTAAAAAAAAAAGTTGCCTCACATGACATGGATTAAATATACATGACTTTTTATCTTTTTACTGTCACATTTGTAATTGCACTGTCATGTGTGGCAACTGGTAAGATAGAAACACTTGACCTTTTACACACTCTTAAAAATAAACTAAAGAGTGAAAATCAACAAATTCACCATAAGTGATCAATCAAGATATGAGAGGAAATGAAGCATTAACACGATGCAACTAAACTAAGCGACATCTTCCGTAAACAATAATATATGATTAGTTGTAGTCCACTTCACTTGAAACTTCCCTGTTTATTTATGTGATATTTTTTTTCTCCTCCAGGACATACAGCCATCACCAATGCACTGTATGAGTATACCATTGAAACGTGGAAATCCTCTCCTCTTTTTACTTCAGAAGAAAAAATTAATCTTTACCAGTTTCCTTATTAATTGTGAATGACAAGAAACAATTATCTGTTTCAGGTAAGAACTTTTAATATTTTTTTATAGATAGATTTATTTGTGGTATTAATAACACAATTATGGACTCTTTCTGTGAATATGGTTTGCTATTCACCAGAAAAAGACAATATTGACAAAGTCGAAGTCGAGGTAAAACGTAATATTTTTCGAGGGAATAACAAACATTATTTCACGACCGAAAGAATCCATAATTGTTCCGTTAAATTGTCCACTCTCTACCATCGGCTCATACATTCACCTCTGTCGTTGGCTCGCGTATATCACAGTGATAAAAACGAAAAATAGTGCGTTTGTTTTGATTAATTATAATTCAATTTCTATGCTTATATCTGAGTTTTAAGATAGATATTTACTAAATCAAATCAGAACTATTAATTTAATTTGGTACAATCCTGAAAATATCACGTTTTATATGTTATGTCAAAAATCTTGACGTGAGCCCATTGCAGGGGTGTCTTAGAGAGGAACGAACGACAACTCTGTATGAAAGATTGTATATTGTGAGGATTTGAATACATTGAAGGCTGCATGACAATTCCATTTTCATAAATGAACTCCTGGCAATAAAAAAAAAAGCTAAATTTAAATTAAACATATAACTTCCTTGTTTTTCATTCGCAATGTGTAGGAAAATAAACCTGCAATAGTCTTGCATTACTAATTTTCCTGTTCAGATATTGGCTCCGGATTTGATTTTGCAACCCTTGTTTTCAAATTTGTTTGAAGTGTGGTTTGTGAAGTCACAATTGTTGATGCACACGCACTGACTCTCAGTTGAATACGGCCTCGAATCCAGTGAATACATACATTTTAGCATTTAAAAATTATATTTTTGCAAAATATAGTCTCATAACTGCAACCATGTGTGGAAAAAATTGAATAACGCGCTTCTGTTCATTGTGAGCGTGAATTTTGATTTTCTCTTTTGACGTTACATTTTAACGTCTTTCAACGTTTGTGACGTCAAAGTAAAATATATGAGTAAAATACATATTGATTGTCAATGACACGGTCACATGGGGTTTTAGGTCTTATCCAAAGTGCTACATGCTTGACGAAAAACCTTCTTTTCGACTTAGGTCATATGATCAGTCGCGACCGAGATTCGAACTGACGACCTTCCGATCACAAGACATGCGCTCCATCGACTAAGTTACCGAGGCGGTCGCCTTTTATAAGATAAAGATAGTTTCCTTATTCAGGCAAAGGCTAAATTTTCCAAAGCTTCTTCAAGAGGTCGTTGAAATCCATTTTTTACAATGATTTTAATCTTGATAGCGCTAAGGCATCTGATGACATCTTTTCACTCGGTTATGACGCTCACGTCACAGTCTATGGCAAGGAGTTACAAAAAGACTGCAATGCTATAAACAGAAAATTGAATGTTGAATACATATATAGTGATAATTCAGCCAATTTATATCTGTTAGGCATTCAAATTAATTGAATCTGAGGTTACTATGGATCGGATACCTTAAATCTATTTCACTCATGAGTCACGAATCAGGATTTCATTTCATTTTTCACTCTTCCTATTCAGTACTCATGTAGTACTTGTTTATATTTGTCCCCATATTAACCGGGAAAAAATGAGTATCAAAATAAAACAATATCTTTACTTGTATGTTTATAGATATATAATTATAAATAAATCCAAACAAAAAATTTCTTGTATTTTTTGGAGTTGAAAAATCCAACTTTTTTTTGACAAATTGATTCTTTGTTAGTCATTTTAAAACCTTTTAAATTTTAAAATCTTTTCTTTCAAATAGAATGACCTGCTCTTACTCATATCGCTTTACACTTGGTACTGGGACAAATATCTCCTCAGGAACCCAACCACAAGTAAGTATCCAATATGTCTTTCCAGGAACCCAACCACACGTAAGTATCCAATATGTCTTTCCAGGAACCCAACCACAAGTAAGTATCCAATGTGTCTTTCCAGGAACCCAACCACAAGTAAGTATCCAATATGTTTTTCCAGGAACCCAACCACAAGTAAGTATCCAATATGTCTTTCCAGGAACCCAACCACAAGTAAGTATCCAATATGTCTTTCCAGGAACCCAACCACAAGTAAGTATCCAATGTCTTTCCAGGAACCCAACCACAAGTAAGTATCCAATATGTCTTTCCAGGAACCCAACCACAAGTAAGTATCCAATATGTCTTTCCAGGAACCCAACCACAAGTAAGTATCCAATATGTCTTTCCAGGAACCCAACCACAAGTAAGTATCCAATATGTCTTTCCAGGAACCCAACCACACGTAAGTATCCAATATGTCTTTCCAGGAACCCAACCACAAGTAAGTATCCAATATGTCTTTCCAGGAACCCAACCACAAGTAAGTATCCAATATGTCTTTCCAGGAACCCAACCACACGTAAGTATCCAATATGTCTTTCCAGGAACCCAACCACACGTAAGTATCCAATATGTCTTTCCAGGAACCCAACCACAAGTAAGTATCCAATATGTCTTTCCAGGAACCCAACCACACGTAAGTATCCAATATGTCTTTCCAGGAACCCAACCACACGTAAGTATCCAATATGTCTTTCCAGGAACCCAACCACACGTAAGTATCCAATATGTCTTTCCAGGAAATTTTAGAGAGATATCGATTACCATACATTGAAAAGTGGTATTCGATCAGCAATTACAAGTAAGTATTCAATATGTCTTTCCAGGAAACTAATTACAAGTAAGTATCCAATAGTTCAAATGCTTTTTTGCTTCCTTATTATTTAAAAGAAGCCATATTGAGGTATTAGAATTCATTAATTTCTCACTCTTAAAATAGAAATAAGTTTAGGTTTTAATCACTGTATTAGTCATATAACATTTTCTCTATTAAATATCAATTTTAAAGGACTAGGTTAAAATTCTACATTGATACATGTACTTAATGATGTCGAATTCTTATTCAGACACATATAAAAAAAAGACTGTCGGATGCCTTTGAAAAACGCATTAAATCTGTGGAAAGCAACAGATATCAGAGATCTAAATCTGGTAAGAAACAAAAGTTATGTTTACAGATTTATTTTAACTTCTTTAAATATTGTACCAATAAAATCGCTGTTTTGCATGTAGAATTTTAGTTTTTGATCGTAAAATTTCAGAGGGATATCGATTACCATACATTGAGAAGTGGTATTCGATCAGCAATTTTCCACGTCTTTTTTACCACCATCAGTTGGTCTCTAAGCTTGCAACAAAGATGAGAAATTTCAGATCATCGGCTCAGATCATTGCACCATTAAGTGTCCAAAAGGTCCAGCTTTACCTAGCCGGGGATATTACTAAAGACACTGAGAAGCTAATTTCCTCCTCGAATGGTACTGGTCTCTCTCTCTCTCTCTCTCTCTCTCTCTCTCTCTCTCTCTCTCTCTCTCTCTCTCTCTGATATTTGGGTACATTGACATGTTATTATTATTTTTTGAACTGATTTTTTCTTTAGAAGAGCAAGAAACTTCTTCTTTGAATGGTGAACAACGATGGCCTGTTTCCGCGCTTATCTATTTTCAAAGTGAGAATGAACCCTTAAAACGAATACAAGAGGTACATTTAATGCGATTTCATCTGAAAACTTGTCAAAGTTATATTAAGTGAATAAACCATTTATCTTTACATTTTTGTCTTTCTGTAGATTTATGAATATTTGTAGATTCTCAACTCCATACGACCAGTTGTATGGACAAAGGCTTATATAGTCCTCAATAAAGCTGGAAGACCATCTCTATCTGGGGACGAATTTCAATCAAAATACTCGATCCTCTCAAGAAAAAAGAAATGCGTTCGAGAAGCTCTAACCTCTTTCCTAGAAACTCCTTTGAAGAAATGCATTGAAGGGTTTCTTGAAGAATTGAATGTTTACGAAGGAACGAGTGAAGAAATACCAAAAATGCTGAATGAATACAAATCAGTTTTATCACAAATGTCACCGACGGAAAATGAAACGCAGATCCCAGAAACGATTAAAAACTTCCTTTTTGAGTATGTTTGATATTTTTTATTCCATACTTATACTACTTTATGAAAATGCTTTGACGATTAAAAAAAGTTTGATAAATTTTACTACGTTATGCTTTAATTTAGAATAGTTTATGATTATAAAAAGATTTCCATTGAATTTTAACTTTTTATCTTTAAAGGAGACCAGACGTACAAGGCTTTGGTATCTGGGAAACATCAGAGTTTAGGATATTTTTAAGAAACGAAACAAACATTGAAATTTTAAAATCTGAACTATACGAACTTGAGCCTGAATTCTTAAATAGTATGTCACTACACATCGTGTCTGGTGAAGTGAAAATATGCAGTCATGTGAAACAAGGAGAAAAGGTTTACTTACAAAAAACTGGTGAAAATTCAAAACCATCCTATGCAACAGCTGGAGCTCTTCTGAGAGACAGTCTTGGTCCAGACGAATTGTATGGATTGACGTGCCATCATGCATTACCTAGGGAGAAAGAATTTGTATACGTTCCGTCTGGAGAATCTAAGCAACTTTCCCAAGTCGGAGAATGCATTTATTCAGATCCAGAACCTTTCCACGATTTTGCCGTTTTTCAAATAGATAAAGACAAACGTAGAAACTGTGATACGACCTTTCTGAATGGAATGGAAAAACCATGCAATGTAAATATTTACGAGGGACCCCTACCGTCAAATGCTGTCGTACATAAAAAGGGGGCAACAACTAATCTTTCTGACGGTCGAATCATCAGCTCAGAGTTCTATTATAAATTGTTTGAAAATAGAAGTGAAATGTTTCTAGTCTCGAGTTTAAACTCCGATGAGTGCCCCTTTTCTTTAAAAGGGGATAGTGGGTCAGTTGTTTTTCAACACGACAGATCCCCTGACCAGAGGTCTGTTCATGCTTTGGGTCTGGTGACTGGAGGGATAGATGAAGTCCGAGACGAAAGTCTTACAGATCTCCGGAATTCAACAGTTTGCTTACGACTTAATAAAGCTCTTTCTCGCCTTTCTGAAAAGAAGCAGTTGGACTTGGAATTTGAAAACTCTTGTCGCGTATCTTCAAGTTCAGATGAAAGTGTATGAAATGAAAATTGCTGTCTTATTCCTCTACGTGATACTTTCAGAATGTTGTTTCTTAGATTAGCTCTTCCAGCATACCAAAAAGAACTCAGTTATAGTTTACAATAGACTTTACTCTTTATATGGTGTGTAAGAATTGTACAAAAAAGTAAATGAGATTTTTTCAAAGCGAATTGGATTTTGACAATTTTAATTATAGTTTAGAAATATAAGTTACTAAAGCAATACATTTAGATTTTTACCTTTTCATTTTTTTCTATTTGAAGATATTAGTAGGTGCCAATCATGGAGTTTTTTTTCCCTGGCATTTATATTTCCCCACTACTGAGGGATTCCAATCCCTAGATTTAGCCATAGATTGTTTAGTTGTCCATTTTCTTTTCTATGTTTAAATTTTGAAATTGTAGAATTTCGGACACAAGAAAAAATAACATGATATTTCTCTCTAATTTTTACATGAATAATATTTATCAACTAAAGCATGTTTCTGATGATTGTAATAAAGACTAATGTACATTTTCCTTTTTTTTATTATTTGAAACGTGTTCAACATTTGCATATAATTAACCAAATGCGTTGTATCAATGAATTTGGTCTAACGTATCTACATAGTCAATGAATTCCCTGGCAGATTCAAGAAAGAGGAATAAATGATAAAAGAAAACGTTTTGGAGACGTGTGAACTGATAGGATCAAAGGTACTTACAGTCATATGCGTTTGTTTTGTTCTGAATGTTAAAGTGCCATAAAAATAAGCGATTTGAGTGAATTTCAAAAGACCCGTATGCCAGTCAACCTCTTCTCGTTAACGATAAAGTTACATAATGAGTCAAAGTCATGTGTTTCTTTTAAGATATCTGTATCATACAGAGAAAGACTTATGAGTATATAGGAAAGATATGACAACTAAACTGCACTGTCAAGCAAGAAAAGATTACACAATATAAGTGCCGGAAAACCAAAGTTTGTATCTACCGTTTCGTTGGTTTCATGTATGTCAAGGTCACGCCACTTATATTTTTATCTCAGACTTGTAAACAACATTCATCTGGAGCATGCAAAAGTGAGAAATATGTTCTAACAACTTTTTTAAAAGATTGCATTAAAATTCTTGGTCTACATACATTCATTCCTGGGTACTTGAGACCAGGGTAACTATGGTAACTTATTCAAACTTTTCTGCACACGCGTATTATAGAGAGGAAGAAGTAAAGCTATATTTTCGTTAAGGGGCATACTGAAATTATTTTTACTTTATTTTTTCCATAAAAATATATTTATTATCTAATTTCTGAAACCCGTTATTTTCTGAAACCTTATAATTTTGGGAGTTTAAAAACACAATTTACACGGGTCGTGGAAAAATTCTACGTTTGTCATTTTCCTCTTTGTGCGTCACGATGTTTTTTTAATAAACATTTTTGAACAAGTTTTAAATAAGGATGCTTGCAAAAGTAAATTTTACACAGCTCACGTTTTAAAAATTGTGAAATAAAACATAATTGTATTTTATTCTTTTCAAGTTCGAATGTTAAAATTTTCCTGTATCAAAATCTATGGTTTTCATCAGGCTATGACAAAATTGCAAAAAGCCAACAGTCATACAAAAACTTCTAACAGAAACAAATACCAATACAACCAACATTAAAACCGACAACCTTCTGATATCCAGGGTTATTGTCCCATAAATACACATAGGTATAGCGTCAACATTTCTTTCTTTCCTAACGCATTGTGTAGATATGCCATAGGAAGGAAAAAATAGCAATGAACGAAGAGGAAGTATTCAAAGACGCGAGGCAGGTATCTAAATGTGTATTTATTAAAAAAGAGAAATTGTACCTGAAAACCTTTAAGGGTATTTATTTCAGTTGCACATTACATGCACATTAATGCATTGAAATTCTATTTCCTGATATACTATTTCTAAGGTGATTTTTGGCAATCTTTAGATTAGTTGCACAAAAGATGGACAGAAACATCTGTTTATAAACAACAAAATAAAGGGAATTTTTTTTCCTTGTGCACATTAACATTTATTTATAATGAATAATAATCAATAAACATACATTGAATAACATTTACTTCCCTAAAATTTGATACTTTCCTCAATTCAAAATATGAGTAGTTTATGTTTGTTTTATAGCCTTCATTTTTTCTGGTTACTTGTTTCTATATAAACTCAATATTAATGCATTTTTACCTCGTATTTACATTAACTAAGGTAAGATACACTTGGCTCTCTTAAAGCTATTTCCCTGAGAAAGAATGATAAACAAAGTGGTTTCGTAGTTTTATAGCGAATTGCCTATTTCCATCAGCAAATTGACTCAAAAATTAAAGGGTAAGTGATGAAGCATTGAAGGGAAAATTATGCAGCATTGAAAAGAGTGCGTATATTCTTTATTTACAAGTATACTAATCGTTCTACCATAAACAGTTATTTTAGTTAATAATGAATATTTTACGGTATATTCAAATAAATTTCAAAATCAATATGTCAGTTGTTAGAAAACCTTAAGAAAGGTTACATGATTTATTTTGTGTGTATTTCAGGCAAAGAATCATTATATTGGTCAAATACTTCCTCGAGTACACAGAACAATGAAATAAATGTTCATAATGTACCTTTTTTCCAAATGTTTTCAATAGGGTGAATAATTAAGTAAAACTTGTCCTAAGGACAAAATTATTTATCTCACATTTTGAACCCATAATCTAGAAATGTATTTTGTTTCTTTACATGTAAATGTTAATATATCTCTAATTAAAGTAAACAATTGTCTTTTATAGAATGGCCTTCTGTAACTTTGCATATTCTCCTCTGTCTAAGGTCCAGTCAAAAGCAAGTATCCAATAGTCCTTTTGATATTTTTGTTTCCTTCTTTTAAAAGATCAACGTGACAGATTCTATTATGTTTTTCTCATATGCGGGGTGATGTTCTACAAAAAAATATCAAAATAACTATATATGGGCTGGGCTATTTATGGCCCTCATTCAGAAAATGTTTACTATTTAGAGTCAGAAGTCAAGTGTGTTTCTAATAATTTATTTTTCATCAAGAATGCCGTAGCCAGTGAAAGTGTCGTCAAAAACATATACCTTATATATGAGGGAAACCATATCTAGTTCCTTAACATTCAATTTTAAATACAGATAACAAAAACAAACATTTCATTTCAGAGACAGATATCAAAAACATTATCTGATTCCTCAGAGACACGAAGCAAAAATGTGGAAATTGACAGAAAACAGAAGATTGATTGTTTAACTCCCTTTTGAGAATTTTTCATTCATATGGAGACGCCAACACTTGCCGGTGGAGGGCCGAATGCCTTTTTGCAAAAAACAACAAGTACATGTACGTTATCACCCTCTTAGGGGTACAGGTAGACTTACCTGTGTTTACCTAGATAAGCAATATTTGATAAATCAGATAAATTCAATCAATTTTTTCAAATTTAGAGATTTTTTTATTTTCGAAAATCTAATGAATAATAAAAAATGAAATTTAAAAAAATAGATGAAATTAAGAAGATTTTTATAATTGCATTTAAAATATAATTTTTATTGTACATGGGCCACGATGGCCGATCAAAGTTTTACATAGAAATATATAGGGAAATTCTTTAAAAATCTTACCTTTTATATCTTTTTTCCTAACTATTCAATAGTATTGACTGAAAATTTACATAAAGTTATTCCCCCTCCCCCTTTAAGCAACATTTTCAAACTCTTAAAATCTTCAAAAATTTACCTTTTTTTTTTTTTTTATAAAATTTAGCATTTACACAACAAAAAATATAGATAAGAATATGATTAATAAATAAAGTGTATTTATATATTTGTGTATTATTTAATTCATTTATCATTTTGAATTAGTAAAACCTTTTTTTAAATCATCATAAAATTCTATTGCTAATACATATTTGAAGTTGCTTGTGAAAATATATAGAACTGTACAAAATGTAAGCTATTCTTACATATTGTGTTAGAATCAAGTACCCTGTGAGATCCGTATTAGAGTATTTAAGGTGGCGAATTTTGATGGGAGAAGGTAACTGGGTTGTAACCCCATCTTTAAAGCTAATAAATCCCTTCTGGTAATGTACAGTACCGACCGGACACAACCTAACAGAAAGCGAACCCGGAGCGGACCCCGGGTTCGCTCTCTGGGTCCGCTCCGGGTTCGCTCGGGGTCCGCTAGGGCTGACCCCGAGCGAACCCGGAGCGCACCTAAAGCGAACCCGTAGCGGACCCCGAGCGAACCCGAAGCGGACCCAGAGAGCGAACCCCAAATTCAGTAGCGGTCCCAGAGAGCGAACGCGGGTTCGGTATTTCTTTACAGAGCTGTCAATCAGGATAAGCGATTAACCAATCAGCGCTTCAACCAATCAAAATAACATATTGATCTGTCGATTGGGATATAAGATCGAACGTGTTGATTTAATTCGACATAAATCCAAACACTGTACATACAAGTAAACGTGTGAATGTGCTGTGTTAATCTACTCTGATAATTAAAATATTATTTAATTTTATTTATTTCAATTCTCCGGTTTGTATTTTATATTTATATAATATTTAATTTCTTTTTTATTAAAGCAATTAATTAAATAAATTGTGTAAATACATCAGTCAATGCAAAAAAATGGAAATCAATTAATATTACAATTTTTACTGACAAAAAGCGGAGAAAAGAAATATAGTTGGTCTTCGACAATTATTGTAAAATTTCATCATCTCAAGTTGAATTGGAAATTTATATATAAACACTATTAAATAAAGAAAGAAATCCGAACAGCTATAAAGTACGTCTGGTTTATCGGGGTATATACTCAGGTGAAGTGCGATTTAAATAATTGAACGAATTAATTACGCTAATTAATCACGACATTTAGTAAATCGTACATTGTTTCATTCTCTCAAAATGCGTAACTATACTTGACAAAGAATAATCAGAGAAATATAATATAGAAAGGATGTTTTAACATATGAATTATGATCTATTATAAATTTTGAAATGTTTTTGGACTAATTATTGGGAAAAAAAATTAATAGAGGCGTTAGCAATGCATAGTTATGTGGGTTGTTCGAAAGATGGTAACGCAAACTAACTGTAGACTGAGTTACACTAAATTGAAAGAATAATCTTGTTAAGTATCATCAGGAATTGGGTATAATTCACGTTCATTCTGGTGAAGTCATCAAATTTGTTAATACCATTAGGGCGGAATGACTTCAATCTGTGCATCCAGAAGGAAGATTTTTATATACACGCATTTTTTCATGCCCAAGAAGATTAAGAAGATCAATAATTTTGATGTAAATTTTGAATAATTTAATGTAACACGTACATTGTGAAATCATAAATAAAATAGTTAAATAATTAGAATTTTTTTAAAGACAATGTGTGTGTGAAATAGGGGGCATATATATTAACATATTCTTATTTGGTCGGGAGAACAATTATTATTTGCCTTTTTCTTCATTCTGATAAAAGTCATTCTCGCTC